TTTAATACATAACCACATACTGGCCTTTCATTTACTATTTCTAAAATCCTCCAATGACACTGAATCCTTATGTCCTGTTCCAGCTAAACATCCATAATATTTAATAACAAAATTTTCTAATCCTCAAATGAAAATGGAGGTATGATGATGGTAACATGTATAAAATATCTGAGTTAAAATATCTGAGTTAATATGAATTATGTTTGTTGACTGTGGAAGAGATGCCCGAAAGTCTTTTTGTAACCAACTGATACACTTTCTACAATATGTAAAGAAGGATGTGTTGTGTCTGTTTTGAAAAATAAAAATAAATATTTTAAAACATTGTCAAACGTTGCAACCCAAAAGAAAGAAAGAAAGAGAGAGATAGATGAGAGAGATGAGAGAGAGAGCTCCTTGGCAGATCAAGGGATCCTGTCTGGATCTGCTCAGGTTCAACTCCAGGAAGATCAAGAGGGAAGATCGAGATGGAGACCTTTAAAAAGGAAGAGCTGTTTTCCTTTGGCCATTTACATTTCAGACTCCACCTCTCCGGTACAGTTATTAACATTGTTTAAATTGCCATTTCATGTGTGTGTGTGTGTCCTATGCTCATTCAGAGAGGGGGTTCCTGCTTGGCTGGGACACATTGCCTTGGTCACCATGTTCTCCGCTTCATCCCAGTCTTCTCCAGCCGGTGTTCCAGCTGTGGCCCAAGGGGGCTTCTTTGAACCATGGAAGGATTACTTGAACCTCTCCAAAGTGGTGATGGAGATCGTTGAGGAGCGGAAGAAGCCACAGAGGTGGTCTCCTCCTTGGGAAGACCCCTTGGACGTCCTCGTTCTGCATTGGATGAACGGAGGCGGCAACAGCAAGACCCACAGTCCCAAGACCGATGCCGCCCGCGGAGGAGACCCCCCGCCCGCTCCACCAACCCAACAAGGCATCTGCAGCTTTTGCAAGCACAACGGAGAATCCAAGAAGGTCTTCTCTTCCCATGCCTTGAAGAGAGCCGACGGGGTGGTGGTGTGCCCCATTCTGCGCAACTACACCTGCCCGCTTTGTGGGGCCACCGCCGACAAGGCCCACACGCTGAAATACTGCCCCCATAATAAGGGGCAGCAATCCTTGTACCGCCGAAGTGGGCGCAACTCGGCCGGACGCATGATCAGGAGATAAAGTGGGGACACACACGCAACACCCCCCCCACCCGAGGGGAGGGCCCCCCCTCCCCAATCCGTCTTCCACAGAAAAGAAAGAAAAAGTTAAAACGCCTGGAGAGTGGATGGGGAGAAGGAAAAGGCACTGCCAAAGATTTGGAAAGAAACGTTCTTCAAATATTTTCTTCAAAAATCATAGTTGCAAAAGAGGTGATTTTGCATGACTTTATTTTTTTTTATATATTTATATATATGTATATGATGGATGGGACCAAACTTTACTTTGAAAAAAAGAGGAAGATTTGTGTCTTTTGACTGCACCAAATTTCAGTTTCGAACAGAAACAAGCAGGACTCTGTTTTCCAAAATTAAACGTGTAAGTTCAGAAATCCTTTTTGTTGTTGTTAATCTTCTTGAATGATGTGCCAAAGAAGTCACCGTTTGCCTTAAACTAACCACGATAAAAGAAAAATAGGTGGTGGGGGTTTTTCGCCCCCTTTTCTTGAAATGTTCCTTACTGGCCCATGTTAGACAAAGTTGAGATACTTTGAGCAGTATTGATATCTGAGTTTGCAATAGGTAAACTTAATGATGTTTTTTTTTAAACTAGTAACATGTTGACTTTTAATAAAGAGTGTTTTTTTCATGAGTGCATCAAATCACTGCTTCCCTCTTTTTTTTTTGCTTTTAATTCCTGGGTTTTCTGATTCTTCATGCGATACTCAAATCTTCCCTCTACATTTAATTTTGATTTGGACCTAAGTAGGTTTCACTTCATCCAAGTTGCGTAGCGGTATCTTAAGGCACCGTATTTTGATGCCCCAGTTTAGGGTGGGGGGAGAATCACGTTGTGAAAGTTCCCAAATTGAAAATGAAATTCTCTCTTCTGCACCTCAATCCTGGTTTTTTTTGTGTGTGGGTTTTTTTTTGCAACTTCTGCAAATATTGAAAATCAGCTCTTATTTCTGCAATCCACATAGATTTTTAATGCTCAAGGAGGATCATGTCTTCACTTCCAGCAGTGAAAAACTCTCTTGAAAAATTCCGGATTCTCTTTTTGGCTTTTTAAGAGTCGCACAACATCATTTCGTCTTCGTTTGCACACATTTATTGTGGTATGGTTTTCTGTAGACTTAGATAGCACACACAATCCGTTGGTGTTAGATTTGCCTTGATGGCAGGAGGAAGAATGGACTTCTAAGCAGCTCCAAATGAAGCTTAGAACTTAGAGTAACAGTTTTGGAAGGGACCTTGGAGGCCTTCTAGTCCAACCGGCTGCTTAGGCAGGAACACCTAGATCGTTTCAGAGAAATGGTTATCCAATCTCTTGAAAAACTTCCACTGTTGGAGCATTTACAACTTCTGGAGGCAAGTTGTTCCACAGATTAATTGTTTTCTCCTCAGTTCTAGGTTGCTTCTCTCCTTGATTAGTGTCCACCCATTGCTTCTTGTCCTGCACTAGACCCAGGTCCAGGCAGCATTTGAACCAACCTCTTTGAAAAGTTTGGAAGTGACACAAAAGGGGCTGGATTCTTTCCTGCAAGAGGCAATCCGATCTGCCCCGCTGGAGAGGTTGCTACCAACGTTATTTCCCTGAGCATTCCCAGGGGCTAGAAACTTGATTTGTTCGTATCGTTTCACCCTGCAAACCCAAAGGCACTTTGCAATCGGCGAGAAAGAAAAAAGGATTAAACAGTCGGTTTGGCAATTGGACCAAATTAGGAAACAACTGGGCACCGAAACATCAGGGGTTTGCTTCAATAGCAACAATCCTCCAACAACCTCTGTGTGTGTGTGTGTGTGTGTGTGAGTGTTTGCGTCCATGTGCGCAGAAGATAAGTGTGTTTCCATCTGTGTTATGATTGTAGCTCCTAGAATACTGTTTAATACTATCTCTAAATCAATATTTTTCAGCTCATCAGTTGAAAAAACACTGATTTAGTTAAATCAGTTAGGTCACTATAAGGACGTGTGGACTTCAACTCCCAGAATTCCCCAGCCGGCACGCTTTGGTCTTTGGGATGATTGGGAAAAGCAATTTGGTGGGAGGGTAGCCTTACCTAACCTGTCCCAGCCTGATGGGTATTGAAGACCAAGATACCTGGGAGATGATGGGTTGGGTAGAAATCCTGGTTAGAAGAGCATTTCTCAACATTGGCTAGTTGAAGATGGGTGGACTTCATTGAACTGCCTGGGGGATTCTGGGAGTTGAAGTCCCCCCATCCTCAAGACGCCAACATTGAACAGTTGAATTAGAACTTTCCCACAACCCTGATGTCCTTCTGAGTTGACAGCTTTCTCTTCCTATTGTCCACGTGGAATTGGCTGTGGTCAACTGTCCACTCAGTCTTCCTTCTCAACCTGGAGAACCTCCAGATCAGTGTTTTCTCAACCTGGTCAACTTGAAGATGTCTGGACTTCAACTCCCAGAATTCCCCAGCCAGCAACTTTCCCACAACCCTGATGTCCTTCCGAGCCAACAGCTTTCTCTTCCTATTGTCCACGTGGAATTGGCTGTGGTCAACTGTCCACTCAGTCTTCCTTCTCAACCTGGAGAACCTCCAGATCAGTGTTTTCTCAACCTGGTCAACTTGAAGATGTCTGGACTTCCACTCCCAGAATTCCCCAGCCAGCATTCGCTGGCTGGGGAATTCTGGGAGTGGAAGTCCAGACATCTTCAAGTTGACCAGGTTGAGAAACACTGCTCCAGATGCTTTGGGGAGCACGGGTCTTGCAATCCACCAGCTTTGCAGGTGACCCAAGTTGAAGGAAGGCGGATGTCTCTGCAGAGATCAGGGGGAGGGGCTGCCTTTAAATGCTCCTCCTGCATTCCCTCCCTCCCCCTCCCTCCCCTTCCCCCCTCCTCAGGGCTGGATGCCTGGAGCTTGGATAGCCCCCCCCCCCCCAGCCAGGGGGTTCCTGGGTCTCGCCTGCTGCAGCTTGAGGCTGTGTTTTCAGCTGCCCCTTGCAGAAAACCCATCCCTCCTTCCACACACACACACAGACACACACACCCTCGCCCCCCCCACCACAAGGTTCCTGCCCCTTAGAGCAGAAAGTTCTGGGTCAAACTGGAATTTTGTATCTTTCAAGCAGACGACCCTCCAGCTGGAACAGAGGAGGGGGTTGAGGGAGACACTCTCTTCAAACTGACCTAACAGATTCAGGGAGAAGGGAAAACGTTGGGACCCTCCTGCCCTCCCCCCATTCCCCACCCCACTCATCCCAAAATAGGAGTCCAGGAGTCTTGGGTGGTCTCGGAGCTGAGAGCGCACCAGAGACCCCCTCATTTCAACCCTGAGTTGCACATGCTCCCCTTTATTGGGAACAAGAGGTTCATGGTGAGGTGGGAGGGGGGCTTCTCACAACCCAAAACGATCCCTTATTCCAAAGCTGCTTTATTCAGGCTTGCTGGGAGCGAGGTGGGGGGGGGGGAGGCTTAATCCTGGACTTGCTGAAGTCCCCTTCCCGTTTTCCAGGTGGGGCCAGGCTGCAGCAGGGAAGGGGGCAAGGGGAGCCAGCAGCTGGGAGGGAGGGGCCGTGGCTGGCTAGCACTCCATCCAGAAGACCCCCAAAGTGGCCTACGGCTCAGAATGGTGGTGGTGGGGGGATACCTGGAGACCCATGAGATTTGGGGGGTCCCCATTCCGGTTTCATTCGTTAGGTATTTGTTGAATGGGGATTAAAAAAAATAAATCTTTCTCTTTCTCTCTCTCTCCCTTCCTTCCTTCCTTCCTCTCTCTCTCCTTTCTTTCTTTCTTTCTTTCTTTCTTTCTTTTTCTCTTTTTCCCTCTCTTTTTATTTATTTATTTCTCTCGTTCTCTCTCCCCCGCTCCTTCCTTCCTTCCTTCCTTCCTTCCTTCCTTCCTTCTTTTTTCTTTTTTCTCTCTCCCTGTCTGTTTTTATGTCTTTCTCTCTCTCCCTCTCCCCTTTCTTTCTTTTTTTATTTCTTTTTCTCTCTCCCTCTTTCTGTTTCTATTCATCTCTCTCTCTCTCTCTCTGATAGAGAGAAAAGAGAAGGAGGGGGGTTCCAAAGAAGAGCAGTGTGGTTATTCCCATTATCAAACAAAATTCACATCCACTTGGTGCATGTTTCTTTTTTGTTTTGTTTTTTGTTTTTTCATCAGGTTGGATAAATGTTTCTTTCTTTCTCTTCCCCCTGTTGGCTACACTGGGCTTTTAGGAAGCCCAGGCCAACTGCCAAGCACCCCAAAACAGCCAGCATCAGAAGAAGTTTAGCCTCTCTTCAGCGCTGTCGCCAATCAATCAATCAATGTTCCTCCAGGCCTTCCTGTCCTCTCCCATCCTCTGGAGTCCATTGAAGCTCACACCGGCTGCTTCGGGGACTCCATCCAGCCACCTCCTGCTCTGCCGTCCCCTTCTTCTTCTTTTGCCCTCCAACCAGCCACCTCCTGCTCTGTCGTCCCCTTCTTCTTTTGCCCTCCAACCGGCCACCTCCTGCTCTGTCGTCCCCTTCTTCTTTTGCCCTCCAACCGGCCACCTCCTGCTCTGTCGTCCCCTTCTTCTTTTGCCCTCCAACGGCAGCATGAGGCTCTTCTCCAAGGAGT